TGTGTGTGTGTGTGTGTGTGTGTGTGTAGAAGCTTCACCCTGAGCCTCGGGCTCGTATGCGGAGGTCAGGGAGCAGAGAGAAGCTGAACAGAGAGCCCAGCCCTCCCCCTTCTTTTGTCCCTGAACCCCCGAAGGTGAGAACCTCCTCCCCTCCTTCCTTCCTCCTCAAAATCGCTTCATCCCATCACTCTGGCTGTGATGTAAATAACCTCCGTCCATACTAACACACATCACAACACATCGATTGTTTCTGATTCACTGAAAACTGATTTTCTTTTCCTAAGTACGAGTAAGAATCAATGTGTGGATACCAACGAGTTGGTCAGGAGGGTTCACACAAACATTTCTAGAAGAAATTTGGATTTTAGTCACAATAAACAGAACGGCTGTCTGGTTCCGGTTAGACTCGGACAGTATTATAAACTCCTCTTGCAGGCGGACTTGTCTGTAGACTTAATGTGAATCTGTAAAAGAAAGAAGCAGCAGTTCACAGAGTTCATGTTTTAATTTGAGGACCTTGAACCTCGGCCACGTTAAGGTTCACATCAACATCCTGAACAGTCTCCTCCTCCTCCTCCGACAGGTGCGGGCTCAGACTCGGACTGACTCGACACGGAGCTATGACTCTCACTCCAGCAGCACCATCAGCAGCGACACAGTGGGCGGAAACAGGCCGCTCCCCCCTCCCGTGGCCCTGAAGCCCACCGGCCCCCGCATGAACCAGCCCACAGAGGAGCCGAGTCCGGGACGAGAGGAGGACGACCCCGCCAACAAATCCTTCCTGGGCAAGGTCAGAATTAATAATTCAGTTTTTATTAATCTATGACCACAGACTGTAAATAAAGATGGAGAATACGACAGCTCTCCTCAAACGAAAAGTTTCTACGTTTGGTTTGAATTAGTTCTCAGATCATATAAACAGCTTCGGCCACGCCCATGTTGCGGTGGGAGCTTTTTATTGCAGCTCCGCTCCACGATCGCAGATTCTGGCTCCAAATGAATTCAGAAGAGGAGGCAGCTCCTGCATTCAAGATATTTCAGCTTCAATTCTGTAAAACAGGAGGTGTGGAGACGCGTCATCCATTTTTATTTTTACAGTCTGTGGTACGCCTTAAGTTTTCTGACTCATTCAGCTTTTAGATTGCTTCGACTCAGTAAATTGTTTTTATTGTTTTCTTCTCTTTTGACTTTCATTGCCTCTAATATGAAATAGAATCAGGTAACTGAACGTGTCTGCGTGTCGAATCACCTGTAATTCATCATAACTGTGATGTTCCGTCTACATTTCGTCAAGTTCTCACCCTCAGATCTTTCATTTGACTTTCACTTCTTCGTGAATCATGTGACGTGGGTGTTGCTTAATCTGCCGTCAACTGAATAAACACAAGTTAACATTTATTTATTTTCTCTCAGATTAAGGCATTTGAGAAGATGGACCACTTGGCTCGAGCTCAGAGGATCCTGGAGCTGCAGGAGGCGGAGAACGCTCGAGTCAGTGCTGCTGTTATTTACATCACTGTCGTTACTTCAGTACGAGTTTAACATGCACAGGCTTTGAAGCAGGATTTAGATTCATCTTAACAGTAAAATGTTAAAGGTCTGAAGCAACAGATGGGATGAGGGGATTTTCACCCACTGACATTTTGACTGTGGACACAGAACAAACATGTCAGATTAACGGGGACTCAAAAATCAGCATTCAGATATAATCTTTTAAGCTACGTTGAGATAACTCGTCTCTTGGGGCTCATGTGGAGTTTGTATTACTGTTCAGTTTTATTTGCTCTTAAATTAAAGTATCTGCTCCAACGTATCTGGATCTTGTTCTCGTCTCCTCGCTCAGTTGGAAATCGCCCAGAAGCATCCAGACATCTACGCCATCCCGGTGAAGCTGCCAAAGCCCAACCTCAACCGTCCCCAGCCAATCGGGTGAGAGCGTCAGTTATAACCCCTCCAACCTTTGTGGCAGTATCTCTCAGGAATTTATCCGCTGGTGATCGACTTTAAAAAAAATCTGTGTCCGTTCAGTTCCAGCTCCAACCCTGAGCCCCAGGCGCCGTCCAGGCCGCCGTACTCGGAGCCGAGAGGATACGAGGACGACGAGGCGGAGTACCGCAGACAGCTGGCCGACCAGACCAAGAGAGGATACTACAACCCTCAGAAATACAAAGACACTGAGCTGTGAGGCCCCGAAACCAGGACATGACATCATCACCGCACGCTGCTCCAGTCACCCCCCCACGCCGTCGCTTCGAGTGCTCAGAGCTCGTCACCGTGGTAACAGCTCACGCAGCTTTACCTCAATGTAAACTTTAAACTTTTGTTCGTAGTCGGATTCCTGGAAAGATATTAGTCTCAGCACTGTTGTGTCACTACATGTTGTACTTCATAAATACACAAACGGTTTATGCATGTAGTTTTTATGTGTCTGAAAAGGTTTTTTCGTCACGAGCGAGGTCGTATTTTAAATCCTGTTACACCGACACCGACGCTCAGCTTCTCGTGTTCTACCGTTACACTCAGGTTTGATGAAACTTCTCTTTATATTTACAGAATTCACAGAAATCCGCTCAGTGGGTGATTGTAGACGTAGATTTAAAAGTTGAGCAAAGACAAATGGCATTTCAAACTTTAGTTTGGAAAGAAAAGAGTCTCAACTTGGAGCTCAAAGAGCAAACACCTCTGCCGAAGCCAACGCCCTCTCCGCATTTTAATGGAAGTGGGAAAAACTCCAGGATCTGCTCTAAATTTTAAATGAGTCGTGTCCCGTCCCTTCACAATGTTTACTGGGAATTGGTTCAGTAGTTGTTGAGCGATCCTGCAGACTGACAAAGAAACAGCAGTGAAAACACAACCCTTCCTGGTGGAGGTGATACTTTCATCCAGATGTTCACTCTTTAAATATTCTAAAATGCCCTCAGAACAGTTTCAACAAGCCTCCGAACGTTTCCCACATCACATGAATCCTTCATGAGAACAGATGATCATCTCTGGACGTAACAGTGAAACATGAGAAACTGAAGCTGACGAACATCAATCTGAAACGCAGCCGTGCTCCCGTGAACTGAGCTGAACACTTCACTGTTGACTGGTCTTTGTGTTACACAACCTACGCTCCGTGTTAACGAGCACACGTCAGACTCCGTGTTAAAGCAACACCATGAACGTTTCACTGATCGACAGCGCCCTCTGCAGCCAAACATTTGACTGTTGGGGCTGCGTCACCGTGACCCGTCGCTGCTCTGAGGTCAGATCGATGTTCCTCCTGTCGTCGCTCTCCTGCATTAACTGTAAATACACTACACTGTAACTCGTGTGCTCTGGGGTGCAGCAGATTAAAGTGCCTTGCAGCTCTGACTTTAGTCCAGTTATTCACAAACTGCAGGAAGTTTCTACACGGACTGAAAAGCTCGGTCGAGAAAACACTGCGGGAAAAACGCTTTTGTCTAAACTGACCAAATTTTTTTTTTTTTAGCCGAGATACAGAAATATGTTATGAAGAAATGTCAGTATCATGTTATAGATGATTACAAGATGTAAACGATTAGAAGATAGAGAAAGAAAAATGTCCAATAATCTAAGTTGTGCAGGTTCCTGGAGAACATCAGTGTTGTCACGAGCGGACGGAGCAGATTTCACTGTTAAACTCTCACCACGACGTCCAGATGATTTATTTTCCAGCGCTACACAAAGCTGACGTTCTTGAGTTAGTGAGTAACACAGAGACAATCACATTTTTATCGCTTCTAATGTTTTTATATTGAATATTTGCTGAACTCGGTCTTTGTACACTGGAGTTTGGGGAACGTGGTGATGACAATCATGTTTGTTGATCCGCTTCTTTTAAATGTCTGTGATTCCAATTTTCTTTTTTTAGTTTGTGATCTCAAGTGTTACAGGAAATTAAATAAATACATTTTTTTAAACATCTTGTCTTCTTAGAAATCTCAGGTTCCAGTTGTGTTATTTGAGGAGGTGAAATACTCGAATCGCTTGTTTGTTCGTCTCAGAACTCAGCGTCAAACTGGAAACTTATCGTCCGTCTGCCTTCGTCTCAAATCCTGTCGAAGAAAACAGAACAGAATTCGTCTTGTTTTGCTTTAGAGTTTATTCAGCAGAACTGTACATGCATTCCTCCATCGCTTCAGTGTAGAAGTTCTGTATCACTGGTGTCGCCCTGATAACTTATAGGTCCAACATGATTTGAGTACATTCAGATAATTACAGCTATTTAACCAAAAGGTCGTATTTTACTCTTTGCCACCTACATATGCACAATAAAATCCACAAGTTCTCTTTGGTCAAACATAAGACGTCACGTTAACACTCGGCCTAGTGAGATAATCTGCCTCCTGCTGCCGCACTGAGCATGTTCACATGTTCACACTGTACAGGTTAAGGCTAGTCGAGTGATATCAAACATGACGGGGAGGAGAGGGGTGTTAACTCAAAGATGACTGGACAGTAGTAACGACAGACAGTGATGTGGCGCGTGTTCAGATGTAGACTGGTTGTTCCTGCGCTGTCAGCAGACGGTACATGGCCGCAGGCATCGTCTTCATGTGGATCTGCGGCAGAAACGTTTCAAACAAAAGTTCATCAAAACTTTGTGCATTTAAACGATTTTAATGGTTAATTAAAGGCGTGCCTCTCCTCACCTCCCCCATGGCGTTAGACAGGATCTGAACGATCTTCTCGTGGGGCGTGGCCACGACGCTCTGGCTGTTGATCTCGATGATGCGGTGACCGACACGAACGCCTCCCCTCTCAGCGATGCCGCCTCTCATCAGGCTGCAGATCTGCACACAGGGAGCAACAATAACAGACTCGAACTCGCACCGCGTCCTTGTTCAGCCTCCGCACCTGTCTGACTCGTGTTAACACTCACGATGCCGTTCTGGACGCTGAAGCCCAGCTGGTATCTGAGGTCCGGCCTGCGAATCAGCACCATGGTGACGGGAGGACACCTGACGATGTTCATCTTGATCCTGGACTGAGACTTCAGACCCTGGGGGGGAAGACGGGGGCGGGTTAGCTACGACACAATCGATATCTAACAGCACACGCAGGAAGCGGCAACGTACCTTGATGATGCTCTGGCAGGTGCTCAGCGGTAAACCCACCAGACTCGTCCCGTTGATGGTCATGATCTGATCTCCGATATTAAGTCGACCGGACTTCTCTGCCGGACCGGCGTGCATCATGCTGGCGATGATGACGGTGGGGAGGATGGAGCCCCAGCCCGACTCCACGATCACCACGCCCAGGATCTCTCCTTTCTGCTTCTCGATGTAAACCTGCGGGGGAGACGAGTCCAGGGCCGGGGACGTCAGGCTCTGAGCTCCTAAATATTCATGTGAAATTCACTGTGAAAAATTCAGACAGTTGCAGGAAAACGTTCGTCCATGAAATCGTGGCGGTTTGAGCTCCTCGCAGCCGACGGCACGACGGGTGAGAGATGCGAGACGACAGCGGGCGAGAGGAGGGGGGGAGGAGCCGAGGTCGGGGGAGGTTGAGCGTTTCAGATTCAATTCTAAATCCGAGGTTATGGACTTGAAATGTCATTTTTTTTACCGAACTGTCACAGTGACTCAGACACCAGCTGCTCATGTAAAAACAAGAACGACGCACTTGAGTTCACGATTTGAATTAAATCTGAGGCGGCTGCTCTGCGTTAACTACACGTTAACATCTATTTATATTTAAGTGGAATGTTCCTTTAAATTCCAGGTTTTATTTTAAAGCGTTAACGTCTCTGTCCTTGTGATCTCCTGTGATGGTGCTGCCCCCTGCTGCCTGACTTACGTCTCTGCAGTTCTCCGACTTGGAGAAGTGGATGAGGTCATCGTTGTACATGTCTTGGGTGTTGAGAAGGTCGCTGTACTCCCTCTGGCTCAGGTCCTCGGGGTCGATGCCGTTGGCCCTGAGGAACTCCTGGTAGGCGACGCTGAAGGACTGACCGATGGACTGAGCGATCAGCTGAGCCTGAGATGGAGACAGAGACAGAGACAGACGGAGACAGAGAGAAGCTTGTGAGTTTTAACTTTTAAAAAAAACAACTTTACAAATATCTGCTGATAACTTCTTGTATTTGTGCTGAACTAAGATAAACATCTTCTCATTTAACTTCCAGCGACACAAACTGGTAATTTCCCCTAAAATAAATACGTTGCAATGATCACAGTTAACTTTAGTCGCTCTTCTCTCCTCCTCACTTCACTGCGACCAAATTCAGATATTCTTGTTTCCCTGACTGACGAGAAGGTGATTTATCTTTGTCGAGTGTTGAAACAAAATGCATTTAAATTCCAATTTCACTATCTAATAGAAAAGCAGCATGGGTGATGTGGCTGAGAGTTATTCATTATTGCACATTTAAATTTCAGAACAACACTAATTTCTAAAGTTGAAATAAAATAACCAGGAGAGAAGAAGAAGCAGAACATGAATGAGTTTGTCTGAGGTCTGATGTAAACTCCTCAACAGTGGAAACACTCATTTAAAAATTCGGACTCACGTCCTCGGACTCGAACACGTGACAGATCATCCTGTAGAGACGTCTGTCGTCGTGGCTCATGGTGGTTTGCTCGGCTGCGTGGTCCAGGTTGTCCTGTGCGCTGCGGGATCGAACCATCTTCCCCCGGGCCATCAGCACCACCATGTTACCGATGTCGGCGATGTAGGAGATCGTCCTCAGAGGCAAATCCATCAGAGACTCCTGGTGATCCGCAAAACACACGAGGTTTCCTCTGAGTCCGGGAGTTAAGTTTGCAAAAGAACTCCATCCCTCCACGGTCAAAGGATTCAAGCACAAATCTTCACTTTCATACCTGAGTGTCTGCATTGAGGACTTTGATCCTCTGCGTGGACATGAAGAGATCGACCTCAGCGGTGGACGGAGCCTCGCCGTCGGGGCTCTGCAGAGAAACGACGAGAGAAGAAGTGAACGGAGGAAGCGACAGGCCGATCGGCAGCGGTGACGGAGGAGAGCAGGTGTCACGACTGTCGACAAACATCGAATCTTAACAAAGACAAACGACGGAAACAAAAAAAACCTTTTGTATAAAGACAGAAATGTGAGAAACCAGGACTCTGCAGATTTTCAGTCCAGACAAGAGACAGCAAATCATCTTCGACGTGAAACTGTGAAAATCAAACAGAACTCACCTTCTTCCTGTTCTTCGCCTGTTTCTGAGCAGCCTACAGAGATCGGAGACACGAACACAGACTCAGACACAAATCAAAGAGGAAACAGCTGGATTGTCTGAAGACTGCCTCCATTTCAAATGCTAAATTAATGGACAATGGGGTGTGTGTGCGTGTGTGTGTGTGCGTGTGTGTGTGGGAGGACAGTGATGTTACTGTCTATCACATCTGACAACGGCAGACGACCGGAGGCCTTTGCAGCAAAGATGATCAGAAGTCCGCTCTTTATCGATGTGACACCAACGACCCTGCGGACAGAAACGTGGCCTC